CCGCTGCAGGGGATCATGCAGAGCTGCGTGTCGACTCGTCAGCAGCAGCCGATCTCTCTCTCCTGTCAGATTAGACTTTACTCGCATTTATGTCCATATCGATCAGATCTAGCTAGTTCTAGCTAATGATATGACTACCTGCTTGTTAAAAGACACCTAAACAATAAGCGTCGCTATGCAACCGGATGAGGCCACAAAGTATAGCGCAGCATTATGCATTTGTTTACATGCCCACCGGAACCCCGAGGCATTACCAACAGATCAACGCACAATCAACCCATACAGGACATCTCTTTCTCCACATTAAGTGTTAGACATTAGAATTGACAATTTTTGTCTGTCACATACTCTTTTGTCTGTCACATACTATTCTTGTCTGTCACATAAGTGGCGCAACTGATGCGGTATTGCGCTAAGGGAAAATTATTTTGACCGGACATTTTGACCGGAGAGATTTAGATTTGCCGGACTTCAGCATATTTTACCGGTCATTGTCCGGTAATTACCGGCTAACGGGAACTCTGCACAGCACGTCTCCCATCTTCATCACACTCCTTTTACTACCTGTCTTCTCTTTTTAAACAATGGAAATGTTGACTTTATAGATAACGCCAGGTCTAGAAGTCATGTAATTAGACGGGATTCAAAATCAACCCTTCCAAAGGTGTGCTCACAACACAGGAATCTAATATGTCATGTAAAGCAGACCACTGATCTTCATCTTCAGAGTTAGGGTTATAGTCTTTACAGCACAAATCACCACTTCTCATAAGGGAAACAATGAGTCAAAAAAATGTTATGCACATTTTTCAGATTTTATGAGCCTGCTACCCAAAATGTGATATTAATACCCAAAATTCAATCCATCCAAAAAAGAATAGACAAATAGACTATGTAGAATAAATGGAAACATGCTTTAACCTTGTTAAGTGAACTATGTGGAATGGCAGAATGCTTCAGCCACTTAGCATGAATTAATGACTGAAAACAGACACCACAGACTTGACACTGGTGCTCTAACATAGTATCATGCAGTCTGTAGTTTTGCTTATAATCCTTGCCAGCCGATAGTTGGATGTTAGTGGGGCTCCCATTAACTGTTATTTTCTTTCTCAAATAATATGCCAACTATTTATTGGAATGTTTGAACATTAACTATCTGAAAGACAGAAAATCTGAATGTTTGAAATTCCTTGTTGACATGGTAATATTTCTTGATTTGTCCAACAAGTAGTGCAAAAACACTTGAATTATTAATTGTAAACATATACAAGAAAACAATAACATGAGCACATATTAAGATTTTTAAATCTGGTACCTGATATTTGCCTAAAAAATAGCTTCTAATTATTTGAGGATCGCAAGTGTTTTCCATATGTTAATACAACATTAGTGCATTCTTTTTCTTTTGTATGGGAATTTGAAAAAATAAATATACTGTATATATTTGAATGTACTGCAAAGTACTGTAAACTAAAGTAAACTAAAGTAAACTAAAGTATACTAAAGTACTGTATTGCAAAGTGTCTGCCTTCTATTTTCAGCAGGTGCGATATACTGCTATGAACACACTCGATTCACTTCAGGTTCTTTAATGTCATGTGCACAATAATTACGAAGAAGCAGTCACTGGCAATCCAAATCTGAGACCCCAAAAAATTCAATAAAACAAGTTTAGTAGTATTTGACTAAACCACACTTATGCTTGTCTCTATAACAGTCAGTGATGACCAACTCCTTGTTCCTATTAAATTGGTGATTATCTGCTCCAGTTTCATTTGAGCTGTTATACATCATATTTTCAGCATCCTGGAATGGCATGTTGTCTTCATGAGTGTGAGTGTGATGCTGCTCAGACTCTCACGGCTGACCTGCCCCGGTCAATAGGAGGAAATGTGGCTGTGTCAGCAGGTCTGGCAGAGGGGATGTGAACCCACTGACAGAGGCTGGAGCAGAGCCACGGAGAGGCTATATTCAGCAGCACTGGCTGTGTGTGCTCTGCTGATTCATGCTGGTCTTTTATCCAGGTTTATAAAGCCAAAGTCTTTAAGACGACATGTCTATGTCTATGCCAAAATTATCATTATGGAGTAGTATACAATATGCTAATTTGCATAGAAGTTCAAAGAAAAAGTATGAATCTACTCAATTTTCCTAAAATACATTAGATGTTTATGAAGAGAAAGATAGTCAGGCCATGAATAATATTTCATACAAGTTGTTTTTCCTGATATAAATCTAAATCTATTCACGGAGTATACTGTATGCAATCAAAAGCCCTTTGAAGAGAGGCCTCCTTTTCTGCAGGTCTGTCCCTGCATCTTAATTAAGCCAGCGTGGGAGGGGAGATCTCTCACACAACCAGATTACTGCCATTCTCTGCTTTGTGGGAACCGGGGTATTGACCCACTCTTAAGTGACAGAGAGCACAAAGCAGAGAGTGAGACGCCCACAGAAAAAAAAACACTCCTTCTTCTTCTATGTTTCCTCGGCACAGAGTACCAAAAGACAAGGAGGCATTTATACCCTGCCTCTGTACCCCCTCCAGACACTGCAACCAATGGGCTCTTTCACAACATCAGTCTGTTCACAGCCTCCAGCCTCCAGCCCACATCCAGAGCCTTTGACTCAGTTTGGAAGAGAATCTGCTGAAAGACCTGCAGCTCACTGAGAGCAGCTTTGTGCTCCTTGTGGGTCGGACCAACAAGTTCTCTGGTACTGTTCACATATTAGTAAACCCATTTTTTGATTTTAAGGGAGACTATTTAAACAGAAGTGTGGCCTGGCCTAATAACATCTGTTCATACCAACCTAATTTTGTCTATAAAGGGATCTATTTGGGGGTTTCTCTTCAAAATATGTCATGTTCATTTACCCTGAAACTCACTGCAATGTATCAATGTACCATCTTGTAGAAGTGTTTTATAATGTGGGGAATAGTCAACAAGCTCCAGGAGGGACTTGGGTGCAGTCCTGAGAAGAGGTTTACACATGTTTGTGTTACTTATATATGTTATTCTAACCATTTGACTGTAATTAGATCAGAAAAACCTACTTTTCTAAAAAGTGCCAGAAGCAGCCAAGTACCAAGTATTTTCTTTGCAGTCAACTTTGAATTGTTGCCAAAATGTTTTACATTTCCTGCTGTGCTTTGACGACCTGACTGACTGTGTATACAGTAGAATAAGCATCAGTACACAGTACAGCATTGTGTTGGGTCCAGGGGTTCTCCTAACAAACACTATTTAAGAATAGGATAGTGAATTTTGCAAATAATGAAAAAAACTCAAACAAACACCAAACATCATGCTAGCATGACAGTGGCAATACCTGAAGTTCAAGCCTTTTTTAAGTTGCATGTACTTCAATTACTTGCTTAATTGAAAACAACAAACCAACTTTGTGTGATAACAGAAATTCTAATTGCAGAAAGAATCTAACGGGACATCTCCAAGGACATTTCTTTGGTATCCTCACTGTAAATACAGTCGCTCTGGATTACAGTGATCTCAATTCACACAGCTGAAGGAAACAAGCTGGCAGCAAAATACTCATCTGATTTCCACTGAAATCCTGGAGGGACTGTGTATGAATCGGATCCATTAATTGGAGATTGAAAGTATTCAGTCTAAAAGGGAGCTACATCACAAAAAGCAATAAATCATCAATAAAATAGTCTGCCCAAAAAAGCTCCCCAGCTGGATGTCTAGTCACCCATGACATAAAGAAGGAGGGGGGAGACGGCTAAATTAGGCCAAACGGTAAATATTTCAGGAAGCCTCATCCATTATTGACAAACGGCTTTACCTTCCTAAGCAGACTCCATATCGAGTATCCTTCCAGTCTCCTCTCAACCAGAGTCCTCCTCACTCTGCACTGAATAACCCAAGGAGTGTGGGCTGCTCTCAACTTTACTTAAAAACATACAACATATGACCACAAAAACAAATGGAGGCTGCAGGAGAGTATACTGTAGCTATGCAAGTACACAAGTGATTATATGGGTTATTTATTTTATTTTATTATCTGCTAACTGAATATCTCCATTAACTTCTAAAAGAAGGAAAGATGTTGAAAGTGTTGAATAAGGAGCTTTTTTTATCTTGCTTAATCTGGCCACAAATAACAGACCTTGCCCTAAATAAATATCAGGTCAGCTATGCACGGGATTATGTCACCTACAGCATGACGTTCAAGAGATTTACTGTGAAAGGGATTTCATTTTGATAACTGCGAGTAATTACAAAGTTGTCTTGCATAAAATCTCAACAGGATGACATTTCTCAATAGATAGATTCAAATTAAGACTGCAACAAACATCGGCCAAATATTTACTGAATTAATGGTTTGGTATATACAATGTCAGAAATGTTATTTTGTCCAAAACTGAAATGTGTGTATGATATCAAACAGAGAAAAGCATACATTTCCAAAAGCAAGCATTTCATGCACATTTGCTATAACGAAGTAGTTTAAAAATTAATCAATTATTAAAAAATGCCAATTACTTTTTCTGTCCATAGAATAATCGATTAATCATATAGTTGTTGCATCCAGACTGTCTGTCGTCTTTTTAAGAAATTTCATTTCAAACCTTTATTTAACCAGATTGGTCCCATTGAGATCATAGATCTCTTTTTCAAGGGAGACCTGCAATGAAAGCTGGAGACCTGAAATGAAAGCTTATTCTTAATATATTTCCTGCTCATATAGATATATAGTCTTGGAATAGGTATTGCTTGTTCACAATGCATGTTGTTAATGACTCAATTAAAAAAATAATTTATCTTTTCCGTAATCCTCTTGTACTGGGGGGTCAGAGGTCAAGGTCAGCAGTAGGTCAGAAAGGGCCTTCTGTTGGAGAAGGTTACAGCTTGGTGCCGTCTGCAAACCACTTCCCTTCGGATGCAGTGAGAAGCAACTGTTCTTACAATCTATGTTTAACCCTAAATGAAAGACATTACACAAATGAAACGGGCACATATAACAGAAATACTTACTGGTGGTGTTTCCAGTCATCTGAATGATGCATTTGCTATCTTTTCCGATCTCTCTTGAATTGAAGGGGCGGACACGCACCGCCACCTTCACAGAGGCCCCTGCCATGCTGCTTTCTGTCTAGCACCTTAAGGTGCCTTCTCTAGTGCCCAGGTGTCAGGCCTGCAGGTCTGTAAAAAAAGCAGATAGTAAAAATTAAAATATACAATTACTCGTTTTATCTGTGTGTATCATATGCAAATGTAGGAAGAGGATTGGGGCAAGACATAAGAGAAATAAAAAAATTAAAATGGTACTATTGATTTACTGTCACCAGTTTGATTATTATATTAGAAGTATAATTAATAAAAATACATAATTTTATGCATGACACTTATTCATAAACAACAGAAACATTTCCCATGGGTTATAACTTTGTGCCTTTTTCTCAGTATGCGAAGATTTAAGAAATTACAAAAATATTCCTCCTCTCATTGTTTCCCCTTATTTCTGGCCCTTATCCCGTGTATACATGACATGCTGCAACAGTCTTATGCCACCAAGACATGTGTTGTATTTTGTTACGTAAAAAACCGAGGACTTTTTTTACATTAGTGTTAAAGTTTTAAGAGTAGAACATTACACCTTATGGTTGACGTGAGGAGCACAAAAGAGAGGGCAGGGCTGTGTGGCTGTAACATGAAAAGACCATGCATGGTCAGCTACAGCCGAGGGAGATGGCTAATAAAGCTTGCAGTAACAAAAGAAGTGCAGCAGCAGCTAAATGTCAGGCTACTTCTCTGGATGACAATGGCACTGAAACCAGCCACAAATCCAGGCTCTTTGCAGCAGTTACGTTTCATTAACAACCCGTAATACTGTCTCCTAAAGACTAAATATGAACATTAAATCACTGTGTGATTTCAGAGGGTGGTGTCACATCAGTCTATTGAGGCTGAGCATGACTCATCATCTGTAGCAATGAGATTACAATCGTTTAATGTTTTCATCAATAAGATGTAAGAAGGAGCAATATGATACAATTAGCTTTCACTGCATGACTCAGGTGCAAATGGTTAAAATGTAACATAACCTATAGCACATCAATAAGACAAAATGTATTTCTTTCACTTAAATATGCCCAAGATTTAGGATATTGATAGTTGTTGCACAAATATTCAAAGTCTGTTCGTACCTGGTTAGTACATGCTTTGTGACTCATGTGTCCGTCATCATAATTGTAAATCTGCTGTGTCACCCTGCTTCCTGTTACACCCTTTTCTCCTGGCCCCAAACTGTTTAATTTGGGAGATGTACGCAGATTGTAACAATGGGAAAAACAGTATCTGACGCTATTTCTTTCTGAGGTCAAATTAAGATTAATAATCCAAATAGACAGATAGAATATAAAAGATCTGTCATATAATTCAGAAAACTTTTTATATATGAAATGAGAGAATGAAGATAAAACGTAGATGGTTAATTTGTACATGTGCTCAACCACTGCAACATAATATATTTGATAAAAAACACAATAATGCAAATTCATAACATTATAATCTGTTAGCTCCATCAACCTCCATGTTCATCATAATCTCACAGTGGTGCTCAGACCATCAGCTGATGATGCAGCTCAGCTGGGCGGACACCATCTTCCCGGCGACAAAGGCTAATGTAATATATCTAATGTTTCATGCCACATTGGTTTGTGTTCAAACATAACGACAAAACAATTTGACCTTGTCACCCCAAGAAAAATAAAGATTTATCTGGTAGCTTTTTGGCATGACAGCAGGTTAACGCTAGTTTAGGGCCCATAGGCTTTTAGGTTGGGCTCAAACTGACACTTCACTGCTGTCATGACTTTTCCTAAAAAATATATATTGCGTCACCTTCAGAGTTTATGATATAGTCTAGCATCTTCTCAATAATAGCTGGAGGAACAACACGTCTTTACCTTTCGCCCAATGACAGAGCATATTTTCCAGTTATCCTGCTCACATAAATAATATATATTTTACCAAACAGTACACTATAAAATAATATAATGTTCTGTGTGACAGTCCTCCTCCTGTCTTATCTTCTCCGACACTGACAGCCTCCTCAATGGCCGCACCCTATGCTCATCTCTTCCCAGGAGATTTAACACCAAGTAGTAAATAGAGACTGTCTCGTTAAAATTGCATTACCGGCGGGACAATGGAAAAATGCAAAAAAGGTAACCTACCTACGCAGTGCCAGAAACGTGTGTCTCCCGTGTAGAGACTGTTTATCAGGGGTCGTTTGTCTTGTTTAGCTCCGAGGCTACTTCCACCTCCGCCGGTGTCCTCCAGCTCTGCCTCCCGCTAGCAGCCTCTCCTCCCCATGAACACCGAGGCGCTGAGGTTACGACTGACGGTGTCTTGTACCGGCGGGACCCAGAAAGGTACGGTGACCGGTCGGTTGATTGGATGTTCGGCCGCTTCTTCACACTCCAAAACGGTCAAAATGACCCTATTGTCTGGCTGCCTGTGTAAGGATGCTGGAGCTCCACTGAGCCGGTGACATCACCACGAAGGGAGGTAACAGCATCAATGCAGCAGCGGGGAGGGAGAGGTGGGAGGAGAGAAGGGGAGGGGAGGGGGATGCTGGGAGCAAGATAAGTCCTGCTAAAACACTACCAGGGCCCAGGGGTGTAATGTAAATGTAACTAAGTTCATTTACTCGAGTACTGTACTTGAGTTTTATTGAGGTACTTGTAATTTGCTTGAGTATTAAAGGTCCCCCATTATACTATTTTTCCACAATATATTATAGGTCTCAGATCAGGGGCGTCGCCTGGACCTGGAAACACTCGGGGCTTAGCCACGAGCCTCATCTCAATACCCCTCCTCGACTCCTCCTTTCCCTTACTCGCGTCCCTTCCTTGCGTCTTAGCTCCGCCTCCGTAAGATGCGAGCGAGAGACACGAGGAGGAGACGCGAGGACAGAGGAGTCCTCAGGTATTAATTGGGATGTCCTCGTTCACTCAAACGTCACTTTTAAACGACGTCTGTTAATGATGACATGTGCACAGCTGTATCCCCTCTCATCGGGCTTAACTGAATAACCCCTTAGAACCGACTCTGAAAATGTGTGTCCTGTAGATCCCCACATTCACCACAAACCCACATTCAGGACTGTGAATTTTAAATAATTTAACTCCTGAATATCTTAAAGGGCCCATGTCATGGCCATTTCCACTGATCATAATTACATTGTTGAGGTATACTAAAATAGATTTATACTGTGCAATTTTCCAAACTCACATTGGTTTCGCATACAGCATCTCTGTCAAGCATGTGTATTCAGCAGTATTCACTCTCTCCACTAAACGACTCGTTGGAGCTCTTGCCCCCCCCCTCCCTGTGAGCCTAGTGTGCTCCGATTGGTCAGCTCGGCCACTCTGTTCTGATTAGTCAACCACCAGAGAGGCTGCGCCCATGTCTAAACGGCTGCTCTCAGCCGAACATCAGTCTTATCATGGCGTCGGTACAGCCGTATATTTTATACGCCAACTAACCGAACTGTAGCTACAACTGTTGTTATAGAAGAGTGTGACGGCCCCAGGGCCTTTGTCTTACGATGGGGTGGAGCTGAAGAGGCTAATCAGCGCGATCACGGACACCTGGCCGGAGCCGAGGTGCTAGCCAGCTGCCCGGAGTCAAACGGCAGCCCCTCTCTCCCTCCAAGCAGCTCAGCAATCCTCTCCCCTGACCACCTATCTCTGCATTTACCACAATAAATGTGCCGTGGTTTTGTAAACTCGTGTATGTCTCCTTGTCTTTCCGATGTGGCCTACGAGCCGGTCATAACAAAGAGTAAGTTATTTTTACCCGTTATAAACTACTACTGTTTGATGAGAAATCAAATCATGGTTTGCTATATATGAATGATATGTTATAGGAGCAAATAATTCAGGGAAGAAAGGATAGGCCTACTAAGTATTTCCATTAAACTTTATTTTTAGAAATGTACAAAATGAACGTAAATATACATATATACACGGTATATCGTCAATTACTCCCCGTTGTCGGCATCTTGCTTATAGCAGCCGGGGCTTTTTGAGACGATGCCTCAGTGTGGTCGCCCAGTCATGTATTGTCCGGCAGGATCTGGCTGGACGAAATAAAATGCAAATCACAAAATATTAGAGAAACTTAGTTGTTTTAGATTCGTTAGTAGTAGTTGTGGTAGGAGTGTGGATCTAGCTAATGAACAGCTTGCCTGCTAATATGCTAACCTAGCTTTGTTTACCTTGGTAGCTAACACGATATGAACGTTAGCTTGGAGGAACGGCAACTATAATGGAGTGTAATAAAACTACTATGAACAAAAGTTAGTGGTTCATATTAGGATAGCAATAACGTGTTTATAATTGCATTATTCTACGGGTAGTCTGCTACGTTCGGTCATACAATGTTTCCCGCTAGCATGTATAGCTAGCCTCGTAAGCTATACATGCTATCAGCGTCGGAGGAAAGCCAACTGTAATGTACCGTCCTTTGGGGGTCTGTGAGCGGGCAAAGAGAGGGGATTTCCCCGTTGTCTCTGCTGGAAGTGTGAAATAAACAGAGTCCCCATTTCAGGGACACCTCTTGGAGGTCTCTAGGCCGTCCGTTGGGGGTCTGTGAGCGGGCAAAGAGAGCTAACCTAGCTTTGTTTACCTTGGTAGGTAACACGATATGAACGTTAGCTTGGAGGAACGGCAACTATAATGGAGTGTAATAAAACTACTATGAACAAAAGCTAGTGGTTCATATTAGGCTAGCAATAACGTGTTTATAATTGCAATCTTATACGGGTATTCTGCTACGTTCGGTCATACATTGTAACTTGCATGAATACATTGTTTTGCGCTAGCATACAGCTAGCCTCGTTAGCTATACATGCAGTATGTACATGTACTGTCACAATGTACGGTAAATCACCCGGAGTATACTGTATGAGTATTCCGTGTGTGTGACTGCAGACATTCTCCTGCCATGACAAACATGTAAGGCCATCTGCTGACATTGTAGTTGATATATTTAAACGCTAGCAACGTAGCATAACAAAAATGTTTTTCCGACCAAACTAAGGTCTAGCTCCGTCGGTTAGATCGGTAGCATACACGCTACGCCAGCTATAATGTAATTACGTTTCGCGACTGACCGAACGGTAAATCACCAGGAGTATACGGTCTATGACTATGTTGTGTGTGAATGCAGACGTTATCCAGCTATGAGGAACATGTATGTAAGGCGATCTGCTAATATTGGAGTTGATATATGGAAACGCTAGCAACTTAGTTAGCACAGTTAGCACTGGCTTAGCAGTCCGAAACATGTTTACACATTTAAACAGTCGTGGTAGATACCTTGTTTGATAAATACACAAATAACAATGCAAACTTACAGGTTGTGTACCCGAATCTTCCCCTGCTCCAAACGGTCCAAACAAGCTGTGCATATCCGGCCTCAAACTGGGCAATGTTTTGGAAGCTTTCGTCTGTGAAATGCCGGTTCTTCGAACCTCTGGAGGAACAGTGTTAAAAAGAAATTTCAACCACTGACTTCGTCGTGGTTCTTCCGTCGGTAGGACAAACAGCTCAGATTTCTCCTCACATTTCAGGAAACAGGTCCTTGGCAGTGGCATGACTGGATCGATTGTGAACTGAACCAGAGCTTCCAACAGTAAATGTTAGGCTGGCAGAGGGTGCGGCCAGCGCCGCTGGGTGTGGCCATAGCTCTTCGGGATTGGTCCATTTCGTTCCGGGTACCGCATGACATCAGGCCGTACCCGGAACTAAATGGAAGACTCAAATGGGCAGTGACGTATCTCCAACGAGGCGTTTTGGGGAGGTATTTTCTGTGTTAGAGTTTTACTCGCTACAGGGTGTACTTTGAGGGTTTTGACTCTGCACACCGTTTACATGCATAAAAACCTTCATAACACACAAGGGGACGGGTAATAACCGGAAAAGCATGACATGGGAGCTTTAACACAAAACAATACAAATAATTGTTATTTATCAAGATCTAGCCATTTACAGTATGAAATAGCTTTCTTAATAGCTATGTTTAAGTGACGTTCAAGATCATTAAACATGACTTAAATTGTTAGTATAACCTTAAGAAATGAATTGCACATAATAATTCCCACGGAGCTGTGAGCACTTATACATTTATGTGACGCTTTTCCACTCATCTTCCAGTTGTCGGTTTTCCTGTGTTGAAATCCACCAGCTGTGAAGGTGGGGGCAGGGCTTTTATACGCGAGTAGTGAAAACACTTCCGCGTAGTCTGCTCTCGTGTATCCTCCCTTTCGTCTCCTCCCGCACCCCTCCTCCCTCACCCCTCCTCGACTCCTCTGGGTGCATTTCAGCTATTGGGACGTCCTTCAACATGGCGTGTCTTGATCGATTTCCGGGTCAAGTCCCGGAGGAGGGGAATAGAGGAGTCGAAGAGGGGTATTGAGATGAGGCTATAGAGACTGTATATATAATGGCGCATTTCCACTACACGGCCTCGCTCTGCCTCGCTCGGTATGGCTAGGCCTCGTTAGGACTGGCTCACTTTATGGCACATTTCCATTACAGTTTAGGAACTGGGGTAGTATCTATAGTAACGCAGTGTAGGCGGAGCCGTGACGTCATCTTCAATGAGAACCCCAGAAAAACAACACAGCCGTTAGCTGTTAGCACTCAGAGCTCACAGCTCCTCATATATGTTCAGAAACTAGACAAAAGTTAAACAAGTACAAACCACAGACTGCCTGTGTCATGGCGAATACAGTCGCTGCTTTATTTATGTCTGTTTTGGCCGTTGTTGTGAGTGTGGACGGTCGGAGCATATACTGCGTTAGCTTAGCCAATCTCCATTTAGAAAACACGCATTTTAAAAGGTTTTTCGCCTGCCGTCTGTCTGCAGACTTGTCAAAGCATTAATTCATGGTTTTTACTAACCGGTATCAGTATGTTGTTACTTCGGCATCATTTTGAAACGTGTATTACAATTAAATCACGGTCAAATATGTCCATCTTGTTGTAGTTGTAGCCCCCTTGCCAGCGATTCTCTCTCTAGTTTAGCATACTCAGCCCGACTCAGCCTCGTTGTCTCTGGCCCTAGAACCACGATTTTATGAGACCAGAAAAACTGTGAATTAGGACCCGCCGGCCGGTACTAGGCCAAGTGGAAACGCAACTAAAAACGGGCTGCTGACGTCACAGCCCTCTTAAACCGTGCTCCGCGCTGTAGTGGAAACGCGCCATAAATGGACGTAGTGTCCGTGACGTCACCCATAGGATTCTGCAGAGTTGCAGAGAAGCCCTTAGTAGGCGGAGTCGGCCACTAACGACAGTGACGTCAGAGTCTAACTCCCGCCTGCTCCATAAGGGCAAAGAGGCGGAGCCGTGGCGGGACCTGCTGCCTCCGAACTGGAAGTAAACAGAGCTAGCTCAGGCTAAGAAGCTAAGCTAACATGAAATACATGC